GGATGCGTCTGGTCAATGCTGACCGGACGCTGTCAGTGTCCGGTCACAACTTAACTGCTCGATGGCGGGGAGAACTGATCGGAGTGTCTGGTCACCTTGACCGGAGCGTCCGGTCATCCCGCAGAGGCACATAACGGTTCATTTTGAATGAGGGGTTATAAATACTTCCTCTATTCACTTAAGGGATCACTTTTGCTCATTTCAACAGCTGAGAAACACTCTTGAGAATGACAAGGAGAGCAAGGTCCTAGTGAGGTGATTGAGATTTGAGAATCCAAGAGAGAGGCCTCATTAGTGAAAAGAGAGTAGCAAGTGTGCATCCACCCTTCTCATTAGGCTTATTGTGGTCAAATGAGAGTTCTTGCTTGTTACTCTTGGTGATCGCCATCACCTAGACGGCTTGGTGGTGATTGGGAGTTTGGTGATCATCCGGTGGAGTTTGTGGATGACCCAACTCAAGTTGTGAGCGGTTGTGGGTGATTCACCGCGACGGAGTGTCAAAGAATCAACCCATAGAGAGCACTTGATCCTTGTGCGGATCAAGGGGAAGCTACACCCTTGCGCGGGTGCTCCAACGAGGACTAGTGGGGAGTGGCAACTCTCCGATACCTCGGCAAAACATCGCCGCGTTCCTCCTTCTCTCTTTACTTTGAGCAATTCAATTCTTGTCTTTACATTCATAGAATTGCCATGTTAGAGTAGGATTGGAACTTAGGTTGCAAAACTTTTATGCGATAGAACATTAGAAACACATTCTAGGCACAAGGGGTGAAGTAGGCTAAGTGTAGGGTTTAATTATTGCAAAGAATTTTAGAATTAGCCCAATTCACCCCCCCTCTTGGGCATCTTGATCCTTTCAGCTATGATGAGTAAGGTGCTTGTCATCAGAGTTGAGAAGGCTTCACTAGTTATTGACACCCAATGATTGTCATGAATTGGAAATGTATCCCATGAACCACTAGGATCAGTTTGTTTCGATCAAACCCATCCCATCCTAAGAGCCCAACCAAGTTGTAGATTAGAGTAGGGGTGGATCTGCCACCGGGGCTGAGGGGGGGGGCGCCCATAGAGCCCCCTCAGCCCCCATGAAATTTTACCCATGGAGCCCCCTCAGCCCCTCATGAAATTTTACCCATGGGAGAAGGTTAGGAGGAGCTTGAGGTTGAAGATGATGGCAGGAAGAGGAGGTTTAGGCCTTAGTTTTGCTAAAATCATAGCTTTGTGTCTTTAGAACAGTTCGAACTTAGTCCCCCTAAACTTTTTATCCTGGGTCCGCCATTGGACTAGATATGTCTACCTCACCATGCTCTCCAGGAAGGCAAAACTCTGGTCTAGGCTACAAGGCAGTGTCCTAGGCTCCTAGCCATGCCAAGAACCCAAGATAAACAAACATTTAAGGGGGGCACAAGTTAGACAGAAACCAACGGCCCTCTTTAGTCAAAAGATCTGATTTCCAACCAGGCAAGCAATCAACATTCTTGTCAATAAAGGACTACACTTGGGTTTTAGTTAAAGTCTAAATGGCTAAAGCTAATTATTAGCCATAGCCAAAAAATGGCTAACCAAATTAGACAGCTACTAGTGTGTTTCGGATCCCCATATAAGAATTGACTATGAGCTCTTGCTGGCAGTTACTTGCAGAGAATCAAGCAGCTCGCAAGGTAGACAGTCTTGTACAACATCAATATCAAACTCTGAGCACTGTATCAGTAAGCACTGCTTTTAGTTTGTTTTTAGTATAAATAAATAGTCCACAAGCTTCTCCGGATAGGTGTAAGTCAAGCGATAAATCAAAATGTCACTGGCAACGAGGCCAAGATCACGAAAATGAAGCGCAACAGGGACAACGGATCAGCTTTCTGCGACTCTGAGAGATTCCTTTCAATTCAAGAAGGCCTTCATCTTTATCCTCAAGAAGATCCAATTCTCAGAAACACATCAAAAGACGTGACTATGCCATAGTAGAATATATAACTATATAAGAGATTAATTGAGGGATTGAATGTGTGAGCACAGACCAAAACTGTGGTTACCAATACGTATACGTAGCGTTTTGGCAATGAAGCCACCTCGAAATCATTTATATTGCATTACAACCTTCACAGCCGCTATGCTAAAATCACAAAACTAATCCATCCAACCACCACTTCTGTACTGATAGAGGTGAAAAGCACAGCACCTTTCTTTGCCATCTGGTAACCGAATACAGCCTTAGATCCTTGTTCCTGCAGTTAGAGCCTAACATACCAACCAACATTCTCCAACCCCTGTAATATAATTCAGCACTGTAAATACAAAGAATAAGAATAATCTTCTTTTTAAAAAGAGTAATGCCAGTCCATTGAATTGGCTTATGGAAATAGTTGACTCAAGGAATTAAAAAATTGTGTAATTTTGGTAAAAAGTACTTGGGACATACTGTATTTCCTCAAACTATACTGTTGTAAGATACTCATTGGAAAGTCAAACCTTACTAGGGATTTGATAGCAAATTTTAATGCTCTTCATAAAAGGAATCACAGCCACCATATCATTAAGTACTATCTTAACCCATCCTGTGGCCTTCATAATGGAAAGAAAGACACCACTCTCATATGAAGGTTCAAGTTCAACATACATTCAGTATTTCTGACCAACCAATAATGTGTTCATCATTTACGTACGGTCAGGAAATATAATACTAGATTTGATTTTCCACCACCAGCGCAAATGCAAAATGCAAAACATACAGATCAATGAAGTCATTTCAGCTGCCACACTGCAATAGCAATCAAAATATTGCTTGTGCACAAGAATTTAGAAGCACAATTAGGGTACTCATAATTTGCTTTGATGTGCATCACTCTATACTTTACAGGGCAAGAACAAGAGTGCAGCCAACACACGACTAGTCGGAATCAGCTGCAATAGTCCAGTGCAGCCACGAGCCCACGACTGCCCTGCTGAGTTGCCATGTCATGTAATGCTTAATATATTTAGTGTTAGCTCATGTTACCCTACCATGCAGCAATAACCATAATCATAATGAGATGGGAACAAGGAAGGAAAGGTTGGGTGTCTTGAAGGAAGTTATGCCTCAAGACTTTTGCCAAATGTCATCTAGAAACAGTCCAGTTGATAGGCCCAAACACTACCCAAAGTCGAATAGGCTTCCTTCCTCATATGCGCTTCTACTATCGAAGTGGTGAATTGAAGGCCCCTTCTACATTCAAAAATCCAAATGTCTAACGAATGAAAATTAATAACAGAAATGTCTCTTTTCTATATAATCTGCATTCAATTTATGTATATGTTTACTGCAATTTCTAAGGATCAGCAGACGCATAAAATTCCAGTGTACACCAAGGGCAACAAATAGGCTAAGGGAGCATGAAATATTGAGTTATTCACAAAAGTGATGATAAATTTGGTCACATGTCAATATACTTTCATTCTTGAAAGAACATGAGTGGGGATGGCCATGGATCAATCCATTGATCGTTGATCCACTCTAGTTGTACCTAACAACTAGTTTTTTTGGTTTGTCCAAGACATGAAATAAAAAATAGTTAACTGAGTTAAACTAAAGTGGATCCATGGTTAACCATGGATTCCTCTATGCCCTATACTTGAACATGAGATACTCTATCCCAGCATCGACAAACCAGGACCAGATATGACAGGAGGTAATACCAATGGGTTATGGTAATAGACTCATGTTGGTCCAGATATAAAGCAGTATATGGCATTTATATTACCAATTGAGAAATGTAGCACCTACGTTTTGGATTTAGCCTTTACCAAACCGGGGGAGCGGGGACTAAAGACCTTCTCTGCATTAGCCACTATTCATACTTCAACTAACCATTAACATCTGCTATCAAACTAGCCTCTACCAGAATTCAGAAATAAGATCTGCTATCTAATTAGACTCTACCGCAGTTAGTTTGAGATGTAAACACTGACTATATAGTAGAATTTGCAGACATCTAATTATCTAATCATGAATGAATTGAAAAAAGGTGTAACAGAATTTGTCGAAAGTGTAGATTGCAGTAGTGGATTGTAAATTAACCCTGCATGGGTCTGCTTTCAGATTTCCAAAAACCAACATGGTTGCAAATTGTGAAATAAAAAGGCTTTCATGGTCCCATTTACTACTCCCTCCATTCCACATTGGAAGTCGGTTCTGGCCTTTCTAGGTACATAGTTTTAGCTATACATCCAGATATACACTGTCTAGATACATCTAGAAGATCTGAAAAGACAGAATGACTTACAATTTGGAACGGAGGGAGTACATGTCAATGTATAGATCACATCAATTAGGAATATGAAATAGGAATCAACAACATTACCACTCTACCAGTAGAAACATTTTCTAACATATTCATATGGGATAATATGCTGCCAACTTTCACTCCTTAAACTAGTGAACCAGAATATACAAACTATTTCATTTCCGAAAGTCATAGGGCAAAAATTAAGCTATTATGTACAGCATGAAAGTGAGGTTATTCACATGCAGGATCAAGAAACAAATTTTACCACAAGACCTAACCAAATTCACTGCATACACACAACTCATAAACACCCATATATCAATGCAATTTACATTGCTATTCTCAAATACTTAGCATTGTACAAGAAAGCTAATTTACAGTTTTACACATTGCACGAGCAGGTGAATTTACCAAACAAGAAATATAATTGGTATGGATATCACTTTATCATGAACTAAATGACATGTTCCCTGTTGTAGCATTAAGAAATGCAACCTGGCATGGCAAGATGAATTCATGTTATATCATTGCGCACGCAACGCATCCAGCAAGTTAATATCCATACATAGCATGATCGATCTAATTCACTGTTAATGCAAATGCGAAGATATTGACAATAACAGAGTCATCATAACATGGCCAATTGCTCTAATTAAGCCTTCACAGCATAACTTGGGCACTCGTACTCAAGCGTAATCATTAGAGCAAGTGAAGCCGTACCATTGCTGCAGGGAGTCATCACATGCGTGGCTGCGGGCGCAGGATCATGATGATGATGTCAATAGCCATGAACGCAACAAGCGGGCTGAGGTCGAGCTTGCGCCCGAACACAGGGGGCATGACCTCACGGCAGAGGGCGAGGAAGGGGTCGCAGAGGTCGCGCAGGGCCGAGAAGGGCTGGCGGTCCCAGGGGATGTTGGGGAACCAGGAGAGCAGCACGCCGACGAGCAGCACCTCCCGGTACACTCCCAGCCACCGCACGGCCGCCGACATCGCCGCCGCCACGGGGGCGCGAAGGGGCGCGAAGTTGAGGCCCCGCAGGGCGGCCTCCAGCGTCGAGAGCGGCGACGCCAGCAGCCCGCCCAGCGCCGTGGCTGCCGCCGACGCCGACGCCTCCGCGGCAGCGCGCGGAGGGGTCAGGCGGAAGCCGCGGGGGAGGGGTCTCGCGGGGAAGGCTAGGGTTCTGGGGAATGCGCGGGCGGATGGGCTCGGGAGGGCGCGGAGAAGCGGGGACCGAGGGCAGGGGGAGGTCAGGATGCCGTACATCTCGCCGCTTCTCCGGAGACGCGGGAGTGGAAAGCTGAAGGGCTTGGGGAGGAAGGGGGTCCGGGCGGCGGAGGAGAAGGGCGGCAGCCGGAAGGCGAAGTGGCCGTGGCACGGGACGAAGAGGATAGAGGTCTAGCGTTTCGTGTGGGCCCCGCTTGTAAGTGAAAGAACTGCAGTAGGTGGACTTGGACCCCAAATAACACGGTAAATGGGCCATTAAGGCCGCGCCATGCGCGAACCTAGGCCTTTGGAATGCAGGGAAAAAGAAGGAATTTTGTAGAATTTGTATAGAAAATTTTGTAGGAGTCCGTATATTTTTATAGAAAAAAATAGGAGTTGCTAAAATTCAGGTGCCTGAAATTTAGATTTCTTTCAGGCTACGATTATTATATATATCTTATACTAAAATTGTAGCTTTAGTTTGTTGCAATTTATGTAGACATATAATCTGTAATTTTTATTACAAGAATGAAAAGCCCGATAGACAAACCACAAAACCGACAAAATCTAATATATGTTGACACAGAGACAATTAATAACTCAAATTTTTTTTCTATAGTTAGACAAGGACAAAAAAATTGATATACTATGATACAAAGATAAATAATAAATCACAAAAGTAATAATTTACTTGTACTACTTGATTGTACAAGAGTGTTACCTGAAATTATCTTAAAAATCAAGCACCTGAAATATAGGGGAAGTGAAAAAAATATAGGAAGTAGAATTTTTCTACGTTCTAAAGAGAGGTAGAGGTAAAAGGATATAAATTAAAGTAGCAAATATGCCTCGTATGCGTTGCAACGGGAGAAACAAAGTTATTAACAGCTTCCTCCTACATTGTAATTCTGTTCTTTCATATAAGTTAAGAGTTTGTTGCTGACATTTAGGTTAGGATTAGTTTGTCCATAGATGATTGTGATGATAGTTCTATCTTGACTTTTCATGTTGCACCCTTCAATGAGGATTGCACTGGTACATGCATATAACTTAAGAGTATATTTATTTATACCAATCTCGATAACAAACTGTTAGAAATTACTTAGTGTTAAAACTTAAACATGATTAGGATACATAATCTTAGACTTAGGTTAGTAGATCTCTTGAGTTTACCTTCATTAGTAGAGGAGGAAGTCATTTATGCTTTAGGTGCGGGACCCGTGTCTACTTGGAGCAGGCCCTGGCACAGAGAGTCAGGGAAGGTATATCCCGTAGTTGTACGGTTCTCACCGGAGTCCTCGTGGCTACGACGATTCCCTCCTTGGTCAACCTACTGGTGATGGCGATGATCCCGTCGATGAGATCGAAGGAGACATGGGGAGGCGGCCTTCCCTTCACTCCTATGCTTTGGTTAGATCGGGTGCTTAATGTTTGGTGTTGCTAACCTTTCTTGTTCGCATCAGCTGTCGAGATAGTTAAGGAACCTTCTTTTTTATAAGCATTGTGTAACGGAAGTCACAACCAGGGTTTAGTTTTGCAACCGCAGTCAGGTCCCGTATGTGGGGTTGTCTCCCTTGGGACTTAGTCACGTGACCCTTGCTGAGATCATCCCAACACAAACTGCTCAAGATCTCAGTTCACGATTTGATCCATCATCTGAAGCAAGTGCAAACATAATTATTGGTTTTGTGTCAAATAAGAAATGCAATAGTGATGTGAAGTGTATACTCTTCTTTTTTTAGGAAGCCCTAATGGTTCGAAAGCCTATTTTGTTGTATTTTTACTTTTTTCACATTTATTTTGTACTCCTGATTTTTTTAAGTGGAAAAAACACAATTATTTTGAAAAATGGGAAACCGTTGGCTCATGATTCTCGTGGTAAAAAAAAGGTGAAACTCAAAAAGGGGAAAAACGATGGCTTCAACCGTAGCTTTGAAGAATCGTGAATCGAAGTCAAAAAAAGAATCGTGAATAAGATCGAAAAGGTGGGTCCCGTGGGTGTTGTGCGTGACGGAAATTATCGTAGCTGAAAGAAAAAAAAAACGTGTAAACAAAAACGGCTACCCGTCTGTGCCGTGAAGTAGTGGCTCTTCTACTTAAGATCGAAAAGGTAGATGTTGTACGTGATGGAAACTACCGTAGCTGAAAACCCGCTACCCGTCTATGCCGTGACGTGAGAGATTATAGCAAGCTCATTAACATAGGTAACACAAACGAAGAAGAAATTTTCACGTACAAATATATATATTTCTACTCTTATCTTTTTTTTCTATTTGATTAGGATCTGGATTCCTATTCAAATTGCTCAAGATCGGAGAGATGTTTTTTGAATTCGGATCCCTAGCTATCTAGATTAGCTCGGATAGACAATTCACATTCACTGATTTTGTTAGAGGAAGAGGGATAAAAAAATAGAAATAAATTTTGGCTTTTTAATATTATTATATTATTATTATATTATTGTTGTTATTAATTACTCTCTCCGTCCAAAAAACGTAATCCTAGTTTTGAACCTGGACAAGAAATAATCATAATTATTATAGGCACGTGTAGATATATAATATAATTGTTAATAAATATTAAGGTGTAGACATAGATATATTAGGTATAGATAGAGAATAGACATAGAGGGTTCAAGTATTATAAAAAACAAAGAGAAAGAAATTGGGAGGTAACCGTCGGAACGGAAAAACAAATTGCAGCCTATAGGGACACGGACGGGAGAAAAAACGGAACGGAAAAAACAGACCATAAGAAAATCGGAAAGTCTCCGTCATAAAGATCAGAGAAAAACGACGGGAGAAAAAATTGGACGTGGAAATAGTAGAAAAGATAACGTAGGAAGATAAGGACTTAGGAATCTATTTTTATCTTTTTCTATTTTTATTTGAGTTAGGACCTATTTGATCAGGATTCATAGCTATTCTCGTGTCAAACTTAGAATCGGACTCCATATCGGTTTAGACGCGAGCTATTCTAACTTATATTAACACGGGTTATATATATAAGTTTGGACGGAAGAAACTCTTTGTTGTCCGGTAATCAGAGGGAGACGGACCAAAAAAATGGATGGACGAAAAAATGGACTGAAATTTTGTCTCTTTATTATTAGGTATAGATGTGGATTTATGGTCGATGTGCAATTTTTGTGTAGTTTATTTATGGGCCTCATAAGTCAGGGGTGTTTGGTTGCTCCTACTGAAATTTAGTTTCTGTCATATTAAATATTTAGACACAAGTATAGAGTATTAAATGTAGACTAATTATAAAACTAATTGCACAAATTGAAACTAATTTACGAGACGAATCTAAGTCTAATGAGGCTCATGTTTAGTCTTTTAATTAGTATTCAAATACTCGATGTGGCATTTCCTAAACTTTAATCCCTGATCAAACGCCCCTCCGTATGTTTGCTCGGCTCTGCATGCCGGTAACCATTTTTCCAATTAAGTTTTTTTTAACTACTACTGCTACCTCAATATTAAAAAATAAGTGATCCAAACTAACCCCTATTCAATATTACATTATTCTAAATCAAATTGTGCTAAGTTTGAACAAACTTTTACCCAAAGTTCGGTTCTACACGCTGTTCTATTTTTTTTGTACTTTACTACTCACTCCGTAAAATGTAATGGGTATAATTTTGTTGGAACTCCCAAATCAAACTATGCCATATCAAAGAGCTAATAAATAATGAAAATTTAATATTTCATAATGTCACTAATTTAATGCCGATCGTAAATGTTATTCTTTTGGGCACGTACCAGGTCCTTAAAAATGCTTTTTTATGCAATACTATACTGCCGGTGCTAACGTCACAGCTTCATTTTAGGGATGCACATGGAAACAATCTAACGATGATATTTTTTCATAGTATATTGCCCGTATTAACACTATGGGACGCATTACTTCTAAAGTTAATTCTATCAAATTTGAAGTACTTAGGTAATTGTGCTCTGTCAATTCCCATAGCACTGAACTGAGCACTAAAAGTTTAGTGTTTTGCTAACATGACAAGATATTGTATGAAACTCTTTTGACATTAGCCCCCAAACAAGCACTATGTTGCTATCTTCATGGCAAAAAGTGGTATTCGAGTACATGTACCTATGAGAAGGAAGGTCTCACCTCGCCCCTTCCCCTGCGCGTCCCTTGAAGCCGCCCGTGACCTTTGCGGCTTGAAGCCCCTGGGTTTCGCGTCCTTAGAAGCCGCCAGTAGCCACACGCTTCGCCCACGACATTACGGGGATCGGTGGCGGCGGTCATCTGGAGGAGGCACTGCTTCCACTTGACCTTTGCCCGTCGGCGCATGGGGAAGAGGAGTCAACGCGTAGGGGAGAGGAGCCGACGCGTGTCTGGTAAATGCAGCGCGGGTTTCTCCAGGAGGAGTCGCGGCGTCCGTGGGGGAGAGATCGAGGAGTCACGCCGTCCGGGAGAGATCGAGGAGGAGTTGCGGGGTGCGGTGGAAGGGCTACCGACGGCCGACCTCCCCTGCTTGCCCGCGCCTTGGATGGATTTGTTCCCTGGCAACAGTCTGTGTGGCAGAGGAGAGGAGGAGTCGCGCGAGATTGGAGAGGGCGTCGAGGAGAGGGAGAGTGGCCTCGAGGGGAGGGAGAGTCGCGTGTCGCGCCTGGGAGAGAGAGAGTAGCGAGTCGCTTGTCCCACATGCGCGGGATGGGAGGAGGGATGAGTGATGAGGTTTGGTCAAGCAATCTGGTCCATTGGATTTGAGTATAAATGTCCATACAACCCGGAGCACGACAGCCTAGCCCAAAGCACGACATTTTAGCCTGACATGAGCACGGCACGGCCCGGTAAGCAGCGGGCCCGGGCTGGCCTAGCATAATACACAGGGCCATGCTTGGGCCGCTGCTCAAACATGGCGGGCGGCACGGGACGGCCCGGTCCACAAGGGTCGGCCCGGTGGCAGCCCTGCTAAGACCTCAACAGGCTAACCCTAACTCCCTCACCCTCTCACTCTCTCATCCCTCCCGCGCAGCCCCCTCCCAATCCCAGCACCAACAAGAAGCAGCACCACACTCGGTCTCCCACTCGCCCCG